CTATTAGAAATATTTATGCTTCCGTACTATTTGATAATGGTGTCGGTAGAAGCTTTATTTCCAATAAATTTAGAAGCATTATGAACCATAAATCGCACAAACATAACGAAACTTATATGATAGAAATAGAAAACAAAGAATTAGAAAGCACTTTGGAAATACTCACTAATTTCCTTATCACCCTGAATAACCACATCTTTCACATCGATTAAGTACCTATGACCACAGAAAGTTTTGATGTAACCATTGGAATGGATTGGATATCAATCCATTGTGTGGAGATATTATGTTACGAAAAGGCCATTCAACTACTTTACCCATCAAAAAAGTTTTCATGATTTACACAGACATATCAAGAAAGAACCTAGGAATCATCTCTTGCATGAAGGAAACAAGGTATTTGAAGAAGATATTCTTCAGTTTCTTGGCCCACATGGTGGATATGCAAGGCAAGGGTAAGGAAATCAAAGGCATACTATAGGTGTGTGACTACCCATACGCATTTCTAGAGGCTCTACCTTGAGTACCTCTAGTCAGACTGGTCAAATTCTGAATCAAACTAATCCCAGATGCAACACCAGTTGCAAGATATCCTTATCGTCTGATTCCATTGGAAATGATAAAACTCTCCATTCAACTTCAAGAACTTCTTGACAAAGCGTTTATCCAACCAAGCTTCTCACCATGGGGAGCACCCGTATTGTTTGTCAAAAATAAGGATGGATCATTCAGGATGTGCATCGACTATCAAGAGATGAACAAACTCATTATCAAAAACTGATATCCACTCTTCAGGATCGATGTCCTATTCGATCAACTACAATGTAAGACCCTAAAAAATCATGCCAATTTAAAACTTCTTACATCATTCAGAAACCAATAATTATTACAATTTTTTTCAAAATGATTTCATGTCAGAGTATACCAGAATCAAATCGTATAAATATAGGGAGGTGCACGATCATGCCTATGCCTTCCTGCGGTCATCAGAAGTATCTAAAACAAAATCAACAATTGTAAGCCCGAAGCTTAGTGAGTTCCCCCAAAATACCAATGCCATACAAACCATAAATATATCATATAAAAAAGATGCATAATGAGCCATTAGCCTGACTGGACCACCTCGCAAGGTCATCAGTCTATCTGGACCGCTCTCCGAGTCATCAACATGCCTGGACTGCCTCTCAGGGCCTTCAGCCTATTCGGACCGCTCGTCGGGCCTTTAGCCTGACTAATATGCCCTAACCAGGTCTACAGTCTATCTGGGCCACCCTAGGTATGTTGGCACAAGCACAAAGCATGACCGCCTCAACCCAACCCCCAATCGAACAATCATGTGCACATAAATATCATTCACTAACTAGCATGCATAGATAGTCATATAGATCTAACGGATCACTAACATAGCATCATCCTAAAACCAAGATACCGATCTAACAAATCACTAACATTAGCTTCATCCTATACACCAGGATACCGGTCAAACCGGTCACTAACATAACATCATTCTATATACCAGGATACCGACCTAACAGGTCACTAAGCATATCATCATGCAATAAGCAAGATAACCATCCAAAAGAAGAGCCAGCGTTGGTGCCTTCAATCCAGTTAGTATAGTGAGGACAACTCTCCTCACAAGTAGCTTGGGATGATAATGTAAAACTCCCCAAATATAGATCCAAACTCGAAAACCTTCTACTGGATGCCAACACGATGTAGATAATGGATCTACAAGCTTCCCCTCGTTCCAAGCTTCTTAATCATCAAGCTTCTGGGAGTCCACTACTAGAAAATAGCCTTTTACGATGCTCATTGTGCGTCCTAAAACGCTCAGACGATGTGTAAATGCGCGTCAAAGAAGGCCCTATCATAACGAGAGACGACGTGCATTTATGACACACAATGTGTATCCTTAAAGTCGCTGTCATGAAACGCCATGTCATAAATGAAGATGACACACATTTTTGTGTATCATAATTTTAATTTTTTTTAAAATGATTTATAGATTTACTAATTTTCAAATTAAATTTACATTTCATGTCTCATAATATAAAATAAAATACCATATACAAAAAAATACAATCCATTGCACAAAAGTTAATGTCATACAAATAATCATTACAATAGTAGACAACTGTAATACATAAAATGTGAAAGAGATGAAATTCATCAACAAAATGATAGTTGAACTAGTTCATTATTGGCCATATAGGTTAACTGCAATCTCCAATCCTTCTAGCAGACCCTAGAGATCATTATTGGTTATGTAGCAGAATCAACCTGCCAAAATAATACACCAAATTAATCAGAAGCTGAGATGCTACCTATAGGATAATCCAAAAACACATTATAAGCATAACAATTAGTCCATGGACTTACTGTGGATCAATAATTGCTTCAATTTGGATATGTTAAGAAGACACAACTAAAGGTAGAATAATAATAAAAATAATATCTTACTCATTAAAATAACACACAAACATCTATCTGTATATTTCTTTTTTCCTCATTTAGATTCTGAAACTGTAGGGACTGTCTATAATCACTTGTTGTTATTATAGTTCACAAAACATGGTAATATATGACAAAGTACATTTTAAATATCATAACCATTGGAAAAATAAAAATAACTGCCTCACCTATCACAAAAATAACCAAAAGAACATCAAAGGTGATGCTTCCACCATCATACCATCCTTCTTCAATACCTTACACAAGGAAACCTCAAGCCTTTTAAGAATACTGAAACAAATGGGAGTCATAATATGATCACAAACTCCTAAATAACTAAATATATGAGAAAGTATGATTTAAAACTTGCCTCTCTCTCTTTATTTATAGCACCAGTGATGCTGCAGTAGCTACGATCAATATAATAAGTGACAAATCTTGCCAAGCTTCCCAAAGGAACATTTGTGGTCAACATAATTAAAATACTCATGGTCAGCTGCAGCTGTAAATAAAAGTGAAGAAGAAATAGTTGTTGTAGAGATATAACATACAAAGAAGTTTATTCCTTTTTTCACAGGATAAGTGTTAGATCTAAAGGCATTTCTCTTGTTGCTTATTTCATCTTCATGTCTTTGTACTCATCTATCCTTTCAACATCTCAGATAACCCTTGCACCTAAAAATATATATATAGGTATAGATGTATCTATATATATATATATATATATATATATATATATATATATATATATATATAAAGAGGTTTTGAGTTTTGATAGTGAAGGAAAAATATGTTTGATAAGCTAAGTAACATGCCCCTCCATATTGATGAAGAGAAGTTAGATTATGGTCCCTGGTCATGGAAACTATTTGCTCGAGTGAAATACCATAATCACAACTTGGAGATGCAGGAATCACAGTGGGCCCAAGCACGATATTTATGAAGGGGAAATAGAAGGAAATTAATTATATGTAGAATGTAGCTATCTCAACATGAGAAAAGATTATATTTATATCATAAGGGAACTTGGGGGACCAAATACCAACTGCATGTTCTCCAGCCAATTTGAATAACAATGCAGCCTAATAGAAGGTGATCAGATGTTAACTAATATATAACCAAACTTGGGATTCGGAAGCTATATATACAAACTTATGGAAAAAATTACCCTTATGAGTTGAGCATGTGACCTGATCATCCTTCTTCTTTTTTGCTGCTCTTCAGTCTTTCTCAAGTCCAATGTGTATCGGAAGCGACATGAAGCATTAAGCACAAGGGCAGCTTGCTATATATATAGGGCAATAAATTACAATGAGTTCAATTACTAGAGCTACATCCAGTAGTAGTAATCTCAGTATTTCAGCATATCACTTTCAGATCTAAAAAGGATTAAAGATAACTATATTAGACGTGTTATTCATTTATTACGAGTGATAATTCTTTTTCACCTTTCAAGATGTAAATAAACTCAAATCGCGACAAAGTAGTAAGAGTGATTAAGATATGTATATGTTAGGTAAAAATTTTGTCAGTTTGTCCAGATCCCATAGGATTCAGAGTATCTACTACTTTCCAGAAAATTATCTTATCTGGCACAACAAATTTACAATCAGCTATCTCATCATGTTTAGAAACTAGTTTTACTCATGTATCAGGTAGGTAGGTATCTATTATCTAAGAGCCAGCCAAGTTGATAATATATTTCACCAAACCTTATGTAGTTATGTTTATTTAATGATTTAATCCTTTAAGATATGTAAAACTGAAATGTTGAAAGATGCTTACATTTTTCAAGAACTGACAGCACCAAATGTTGGCATCATTGCAATCAGTCCCTATAGTACTGTTTAGTATATATGTTATTATTTATAAAACCAAGGGCAAAAAAGTAAAAGAGTATAATATTTTTACCTTCATCTCCTCTATTTATGAATAACAAGAGATCATCAACACACACACACGCTCATGATCCTCTTCAACTTCAATATTTTCAAGCATAACTAAAATGCAGGAACCGGATAACTGATTACATCAAATGTCTCAGATTATAAATTATCTATAAAAAAAATAAATGGAAAATTTTACCAGTCATCTAATATTTCTGTAACAGGCTCCTCATAAGTTGAATGCTAATAAAGTTGAAATGAAGAGAAATATATAAATATATAATGTTAGTTTTATATAAAAGCATTAAAAAGTTATAAGTGGTTTAATAATTCAGCATGTTAGGAATGACTTACATCTTTAGGTCTTGATTTTATTGAAGGTGGGTTGTAAGTGTGAGGAGCACGTGACACCCTACCTTTGCATTCCTCCTGTCAAAATGATCAAACTCATGTCTTGCAGCATCTAAAGACTTTAATAGCCTCAGGAAACGATGTTTTTATCAGCCTCAAATTTTCATTAGCCTGGAATGGAATAAATTAATATTGGAAGTTACAAGGAAAGAAAGAAATGTAAAGTCTAATTCAAAGATCAAAGTAACACCCTACCTTTGCATTTCTCATGTCAAAATGATCCAAAGCATCATACAAAAAAGCTATTAGTTATGTGCTCCCAATCTTGAAGACAGATTTAGTAGAAGCTGGGACCCGTTGAAGAAACTCCATGTTTAAGTTAGACAATATCCTGGCTCCATTACACTCTGGGATAAGGATAATGGGTTCATCATAAAGATAGAGAACCAGATCTCCATAAGGGCCCACCGCCAGAAGCATATCATCCCAATACAACAATACACTGTCCATTCCACACCAAACAAGGTGCTCTTGAGCTAGGGTAGAATGTAGAAGAAACAAAATCAAGAAATCGTTATATAAGGAGAAGATAATGAAACCTGATTGAAGCCTTGAAGTTGCATGGATGTCAAATGGAAGACAGAAAGAAGAAACATTTTTTTGTGAGAGAAGACACGTGAAGAATGTACCTTTTGGGAGTGAACCAAGAAGGAGTGGGATCAGATGGATCTCCTTGACGGGCGTCGCGTAGGTCAGCGACGGTGGATGAGTGGAGAGATGGATTGGAGCAGAAGGCAGAAGTGCGTCCTTAGCTTGATGGCGAGGTTCGGCTTTGATTTCGTTCTAGACCGAGTCGCATTCGTTTTCTCAGACATTAACGATGATTTGTGGAGACGATGATGGCTCCGTGGACTACGACATGGCGTTCTGATCTTGAACCGGTATCTTAAGATGGCGGAAGTGTGTGATTAGGTTTCTAGATGCTCTCCAAACTCTTAAAGCTTATCTGGTTCGATATTGGTGGTGGCAACTTAAGGCTTTCGAAGAGAGAGAGAGAGAGTGTGTGTGTGTGTGTGTGTTGTGTTTTTAAGGTTCAATGGCGGTAACAGTGGTGATGGTTTAAGGTTTACAAAGAGAAGGAAGGAGTTAATGAAAAGGGAGATACTGAGGTGAGAGGGTAGAAGCAGGGTTCTTCAAAATTTTAGAATTTCAGATGATTTCGTTTTCCCCATTTAAAAACACGTGTTTAGGAAAAAAATATAAAGCGGCACACTTAGAGGACACACATTTTATGAAAGGGACCCTCCACATTTTTTTTTCTTTTCTAACACTAAGTTTAGGGCACGCACAAATGTGTGTCCACTATCCTTCAAATTTTGCAAAATTGACATTACTTTTTATGGCACACACCAATCCGCGTCCTCTATCAGCGAGTGTCATTGTTTGCACGTCATTAAAGGGCTGTTTTCTAGTAGTGGTCGGTGTTGAATTAGGTTTCTAAGCCCATAACTATTATTGGTATGTACTTGACCCAAGATTACCGTGGTCCATTTGGGTTGCATAGCATCAAAACCATTTGGATAGACTTTTGTGAGAAGAGGATATTTATGATTTATTAATATATTATAAATTCTAATATATTAATATGAAATAATATTATTTAATTACTATTGATCAAGAATTAGTTTGGAATTAATTTTGTGATCAAAAGAGACTAATTAAATAAATGGGGATTGATCTGGCAAGTCATTCATTTTTATAAAGTGGGTTTATGATCCATAGTTCTTCATGTTGGGCTAAACGTATGTGGTGACCCGTGGATACTCCATGGAGGTTAAAACCCTTGGATCATGAGGAATATGGAAAGTCATGAGCTACATGGTGTAACCCTAATGTACACACTATATAAGAAACCCTATGGTTCCTAAAATCGGCATTTAAGGCATATGCATGAGGGCTAGCCGATTTGTGAAGCTTGTGTTCTTCCCTCAAGTTATTCCAATTGTTGGCGGTGTTGTATGATTGCATTTGAGGTGCAACACTTGGGGTACTAAGCTCTTAAAGCCCCAAGGCTTCCAACTATATGAAAAGGTATGTTATCTAACTTGTTTTATTACCAAAGTATCATTGTTTTGTATGCTAGTTAGGGTCATACCTTGGAAAGTTCAAGCTTGCATGTATAATAGAGAAAACATAGATCCAGGGTATTTAGGGTTGCATGTACACTTAGGAGTGTTAAAATGCTCAAAACCCTACAGTGGTATCAGAGCCTAGGCTTGTTTTCAATTATACTTGATGCTACTTGCTTGGAAATGCTTTAAAAATCGATTTTATGCTGTTCTGGACAGTGAACTCACCGAGTCCAAGTACAACCTCATCCAACTCGCCGAGTTGGTGCCCCAGAATGTAGTTTTTCAATTTGTTTTGGCTGGAATTGGACTAGGATCATTACCCAAAGCTGGTTTTGAGCTTATAAACCTATTTTTGATGTGGCAATGATCATGCTAATCCAATTTAAAATATAATTGTCAAAGTTTCATGTTTTGTATTAATTTATATGGTTAGGCTAAATACATGAAATTCTTTTGATGTGAATTGTCTTGTTCTTATGAGTTTAATTTAGATCATAGACAAATTGATCGTTTTGTAAACTACAATTTTTGATCTAAATGATTTTGATGAATTCCACATCTTGTCCTCAAGTTATGGAAAATGAAAAGGTTTTTTATAAGAAATCATTAAATTCATAGTTTATGAACTTAAAGAGTCCTTTTCTCATAAATGTTTTTTATGAACTCTATAACTTGTCGTCAAGTTATGGAATGTCAAGAGTCTTTTCTTAAAACCTATGGTAAACTCATAAGTTATGGATTCCAAATGTTTTTGAATTGTTCAAAACTTACACTTAAGTAAATGTAAAAGTCTAGCTTTTGAAACATTTAATTCCAAACACTAGAATTTTAAACGTTTAAAATTGAATCCTTATACTATTATAATATTATAGGTTTAATATATATATATATATATATATATATATATATAGATAGATAGATATACATATATATATATATATATATATATATATATATATATATATATATATATATATGTATGAGTACAGTCAGTCTTACTGTTAGTATGCCTCATTCACAAAGCCGGTCTATAAGGGGGGAATAAGGTTACTGCCTATAAAATGGCAGTTTAATGGGTGTCCACTCTCACCCACCGCTTTCTTGACTAGTGGAGGGTTGTTAGCCGAACGGGTAGGATAGGAATCTAATTCTCCCTTCATTAAAAGTATAATCATAAATATAAAGTAACAAAAAACTTATAAAATCCGAATCTTAGTTACGTAGGAAGATGTGAATATGGTGCTAACCCATTAAATTGCAATTTGCACCTTGTTAAGTTGTTAGTGGAGCGTGTGTGCTTAACTGGCACACTAATCGAGACTGACAGTGTGTGGCAAAGGGTAGCTTGGAGTTAATCATTGATCAATGGAGCATGTGTGGTTAACCGGCACACTGTTAGGTGGTTTTAACATTGGGTATACCAAGCTAATTTGCATGGTTATTCACACCTTGTTTGTGATCCTCGGCATCACAGTCACATACTTGAAAGGAATACAAGAGATTTAAACATGTCATTGAGTTATTCAATGAATCTAAAAAGGATTTAGGAATTTCAATTCACTTAAAACCTAATTTTTTTTTTCGTTTTTCGTGGTGCAAATTGGTAAAGTGTCATTTAGCTACCTTCAAATATTTTGCAGTTTGGATTACAGCAAATTGTAAAATATTGTGTTGGGTCCTAGCCTTAATATTTCATTTGGGTTTTATATTAAGGACTTAAGTCACCTAACTTGAATTTATTCCATTATACATGTCTAGTTCAGACAACTATGGCCTTTCCAAATCCTTTGGAACAAGCTTTCCTCTTGAAGATGATATCCCATGGTTGGATCATGGAAGTCATACTTCAGTTCGTCCACCTCCTCCAATAATTCTCCCTAACCCACAAGTTCAAAGACTTGAAAAATCAAAGTTACTCAAACCCTACTTGCAATGAAACAGGAAGATGGAAGCCTTGTGTGTACTCACGTCTTGGAGATGAAGTCACATGGTGATAGGCTAAGAGTATTGGGTGTCAAAGTCTCAAGGAAGTTGGTTGTTGACTGGGTTCTTCAATCACTTCCTGAGTCATATAGTAAGTTCATTAATGACTACTATGAGACAGAGCATGACATGACCCTTATTGATCTTACCTATTTGCTTGTTGCTGCTAAATCAACAATGATTTGGCACACTGGAAAAGCAAATTTGATTGGAAGATCTAATGCGATTAGAGCAAAAGAACAATCCTATGTGCTTCTGCAAAACCCTAAATCTTGGATCTAGGTTTCTCTATTTCACATACAATTCATCCAAGACTTGGATACCCTAATATAGCATACTATTAAAATCGAAATCTATAATAAACACGTTTAGATACTACCTTTCAATAGTTGCAAGAACCCTTTGATCTTCAAGAAGCTTAGTGTCACAAGTGTAACACCTCTAATGGCTTACAAACACCACAAGCAAGAGGATGATGTTTAGGACATAGGATGAGAGGCTAGAAATTGGCTCCAAGCTTCCAAGGGATCAAGTGGCCGATTTTGCTTGCCCTATGGGTCCTTATACTTGTGCTGCTAGGGTTTCAGTCAAAACCCTAATGGATGACTTAGGCCCTAAGCAGCTTGAGTAACTGCTGGAATAAGGACAATATGGCCGAAAGTAGAGTGGGCTTCCACCCCTAATTTCATTCACCTCGTATCCAAGAAGATCTACAACCCATAATCTAACTATCACACAATTACCAGTTCAAGTCTCCTTTATTTAACTAATCTCTTCTAGCCACAAAATTAATTCATAATTAATTCTTGACTAATATTAATTAAACTATATGATTTCTCCTTTAATATATTATTCATATGATATATTAATAAACCATAATAACCTCTCTCTCTATATATATATATATATACATATATATATATATACATATATATATATATATATATATATATATATATATATATATATATATCATCCTGTCAAGTTGCTATGGTGAAGACAATCCAAAAGGACCATGGACAATAAGGTCAACTACATACCAAATATAGTTACGGACTTACACACTAATCACACAGTCTCCCACTTGCATAAGTCTAGTAACTATAAATGCAAGTATTATCTAATTAGCAATTGTAGCTCTCAAAGACGCTGTCGAACTCTGATCTTGTCAGTAACTTGTCCATTAGATAAGGGATCGGATAGTCCACCTTTCTAGATATTATGCAGACGATTACATGGAACATAGTCATACTTATTGTCCAACAGTTTGTTTCGCGATCTCTGATTCATCTGACATAGAACGTAATTAAACATATCAATTCAGTCCTGACCGGGCCTGACACATATGTCAAACCAAATCATCAAGGGTCCTAGATATCGCTTTTACCCTCTTAGTATAAAAGGAACAAATAAACGTCGACTTTTATGCATTTATCATTCACTCATCAAATCATACATAACAATGCATTTTATAACATCAAGTTACTAATGCGTAACGCATTATCATTGCAAAATCAACTCGCAATCAATAAACTATATATCTACGTTTTAAGACCATATGATATTATTATCTTGTGATCAATCGAGATTAATTCCATGAAGTGATACCAGCAAGCGCGGGTTTAATCCAACGCTCAAATCTTATTCATAAGCACTCATGAACATTGCAACCAATCTTTTCTATGTCTAATATACTTTAGACAATCTACAAACCAATTCATGACAATCTTCTTTCAAACCTACTCCCAAAGTATGAGCGACTGTGGAACGTTCAAATAATCTTATTATTCAGGAAGTCAAAACATGCAAAATGAAACAATAGGTAAAAAATCAACATAAGACAGTGACTTTACTTATAAATAATACTCCTTTATTTAATCATCAAATGTCAATTACATTTATCTATTACACGTTTTGAAACTATCTAATTAAAACTAATATTGTCCTTCAACCCAAAGCTCCTAGCGTGCTGCAAGTTCTTAACCCTACTCAGTCCCTTCGTAAGGGGAACTGTTGGGTTATCCTCCGACGATACCCTCTTCACTACGAGGAGTGCCTCTTCCACCCGATGTCGAATAAAATGATATTTCCAGTCGATATGTTGAGATCTGCGATGATCCCTCAGTTCCTTGGTCAAGGCAACCGCTCCTTCATTATCACAAAACATTTCCATGGGCTCCTTTATGGTTAGAACGTCTACAAGGTTTCCAATGAAGTTTTTCAACTATATCGCCTCCTTTGACGCTTTGCTCATTGCTATGTACTCTGATTCGTATTTTGAATCCACTACGGTCTCTTGCTTGGAACTTTTCCAAGTCACTGCTC